TTCACCCGATGTGTAAAGTGTAAAGACTCCACCGGCCAGAGAGCAAGGTGTATTCTCTAAGATTTTTATTTGGGCGTCCGTGCGCTTTTCAAGCTGCGGGGTGGGTCTTCGAGTTGAGCGACACCGCTGGGAACCCGGGCGGTTGGCCGTCCAAGCATGCCCAACCGCTGGGGGAGATTGGGGGTGCCGCTCCGGACTGCTTCTGCCAGTGGCGTAGAAGCGCCCTATCCTCCCGCCAAATCCACGGGCTGCCCACAGCTTGTTCCAAGGTCCTACTTCGTAATTGGGTGTCACCCTGAGTACCTTTGCCAACTCCATTTTTCCTTGGGTTACCCATTATTGGTGGTTTGGATTGGCGGTTTGGGCATTTGAGCTCCGCTGGTTGTAGAGGGCAGATGGGGAAGTAGGGCCTTGGGCGGTTGAGCCTTCGTTTGCTCCAGCCCCGGGCACCACGAATTACCCTCAGCATGGCGGGTGCATGTTCATGGAGCACGCAGTTTCTAGCGAACTGGGGTTTTCCAGGGCGGGCTTATGATTCAGGGACGTTCTTCGCGGGTTGCAATCAGTCACTCGTGCAGCATTTGGAAGGAACCCATTTGTTGGAACCCAACGGCCATTAGTAAATGTTTATATATGTATATATGTATTATTCCTAGTCAGGATTTCATAATTTCTGGTGCAGAATGCAAGCAATTCGCCCGTAGCAAGAGCCATGAGAACACCACGCATGGGGCCTTCATGGGGGGAGGGGGCCTCCATGAGCCAACCCTTGCTTCAGGCTGGATCAATCATAGTTGACCCTTGGTGCGCGTGCAGTGGTCCTCTCATGTTTCCATCCATCCAATATTTGTGTCATGTGCTTGCAAGCGAGCTGCATTCAAGTCTGAACCAAACAAACACAGATCACTCACCATATTCCCTGATTGGTAAGAGTCTGGGCTTTCCTATCGAAAAAGAAGGTTGCGGCTAGCTAACCCACACCCCTTTCCAGGCACGCAAAACAAGAACGACCCGTTTCTTGCTGCACAAAAAAACCAACCGGTCCAACTGACGTTGCCTCCAGAGCTCCAAATTTGGGACCTAAATACTGGAGAACGAGAGAGGGGAAAAGAGAGAAGGGTCTTTGCTGGAGGCTGCCCTTTCGAGGCTGGTTTGAAAGGGCAACGGGAAACCACTGTTGGGATTTAAGTTGACAGGTTGTGTGTTGGCATCCTGCCATGCTCTTTTGCCTGCCTTATGGCTGGCTGCTGCCCGTTCGGGCTTGCAGAGGATGTGGGCCGAATGGCATGGATTGGACCCGTGCCCAAAAGCGTTCTCCGCGTTCTCCGCCTTCTCCGCGCGCCGGGGTTTGTGGGACAGCTCCCCTTCCAAAAGCAATCCAGAGAAGGCTTCCACTTCCATGTTGATTGGAGGGTGGTTGTTCTTATCGTTGCTTGCCTCAACTCTTGGGATGAGATTTCTATATTGGTCTGACCGCATGTGGGCTTTGGGTCTCACTCGTTCGTGGACAGACTGCCATCTAGAACGAGCCGCTGTTTTTGGGACCCACTCAATGAATGTCCCTTTGAAACACTACAGGTTCCAGACTCATCTGAAGCAACCTATCCCCAAAAGAGCTTCCAATACAAAGAGCACACCCCTAGCAGTCGGGCTGCTTGTTGCAGAGGAAAGAGGAAATTGGCTCGGTGCGGCTCTTCCAAGACCTATTTGGGTTTATGGGCGTTGCATTTGAAGACAATGGACTTGACATTGCCAGACTTTGCGAACACAAGGGCCGTTTTGTTCCGCGGCAAATCTTATAATGCCCTCTGTTGGGGGTCGAAGTGTCACCCGGTTAACTTTTTGGGAGTTCTGAAGCTTGATGATTCCACCGGAAAAAGATCAGAATTCGATGCTGCTAGCAAAATCGCTCTCAAGTCCGAGAGGCTGCCATTGGATCCCGGCTGCTTTGCCATTGGGATCCGTTACTGGGAAATCCTTCTTTTAGGTTATGGACATGTTGCTCGTATTTATGCATAGATCAGGAGTGTCGCATTCAACAAGCATGAAAAGCATCATCTTGCAGATGAATTGTTCCTTCTGCTTCATGCGTCACCATCTTCGGAACGGAGCTTGCCTTTGGACTGAGAAAAAAAGTTTGGGGGGGGGGACAGAGCAAGCTCGCCTGGGGGTGGACAAAGCAAGCTCCATGAATATATTTTACCGGGCCTTATTTTCTGTCGGTCAATGTTCTGAGTCTTTGAGTTGTGATTTGGATGACTGAATGCTGGACATGCACCCTCCCTTGGATTGGTGGCTTGAAGGCTTTTAAATCCTGGTTATGAGAAATGTGAACCCACCCCTTCAGCTCCAAACCCACCAACTCGAGGAACGCCAGAGTTTTCGCTTGCCGCAGAGTGCTGTTTTAGCACTCAAACCGCAGTCATGGCGCGGCTGCTAGGCCAGCCGAGGGCGGTGGTTTTGTCATGAAGTCGCGTGAATTGTTCCGTCCCATGGCTTCCTTGGTGGTTCCCAGCCATCCCCTTAGCCTTTTAGCTTTTTTTTTTGTTTGGTGGTAGCTTCCGTTTAACCCACTAAGAGTTAAACTTTGAGCGGGGGATCTGAGGGTCATCAAGTTTCCCCTTGATGGGACGGGCAAATTTACTATGCTTCGCTGTTCCTCCGTTCCTCTCCTTCCCTCCCTCCCCCCTCAAAGGAGTTTTGAACAGACCCTACTGTACTTGGCCTCCCCTGGAGAAAATCAACGGGCAGAATGGCTCGGCATGTTCATTCCGTTATGTGGCTGCATGGCTCGGTAGAAAGAGGTGTCCGGAGGCCTTCTATTGGACATGATTCGCGCATTCGTGCCACGCCTCGCGAAATGCAATCCATGGGCGCAGTGGTTTTAACCAAATTTCCAATGGATCAAGGATTAGGGTAAGCCCGCGAAAAGCGCGAAACTGTTTCCGTTGGGAGGCAACATGTTTCTGCATGAAAGCAATTGTCCTTGGAAGGGTTGCCGGCTTCTCAAGTGCCCTTCAACCAATGTGCCTCGGTTTGGGTGCTTGTTCAGCCTCAACGCGCCTGTGGCGTGAATGGACTTCCCTTTGCCAGTGTCACTGGGCAAAGCTGGAGCATTCGTTGCCAGGCGCACACCCACCCACCCACCCACCCACCCACCCACCCACCCACCCACCCACCCACCCACCCACCCACCCACCCACCCACCCACCCACCCACCCACCCACCCACCCACCCACCCACCCACCCACCCACCCACCCACCCACCCACCCACCCACCCACCCACCCACCCACCCACCCACCCACCCACCCACCCACCCACCACCCACACCACGCACGCACCACGCTCGCACGCACCACGCACGCACGCACGCACGCACGCACGCACGCACGCACGCACGCACGCACGCACGCACGCACGCACGCACGCACGCACGCACGCACGCACGCACGCACGCACGCACGCACGCACGCACGCACGCACGCACGCACGCACGCACGCACGCACGCACGCACGCACGCACGCACGCACGCACGCACGCACGCACGCACGCACGCACGCACGCACGCACGCACGCACGCACGCACGCACGCACGCACGCACGCACGCACGCACGCACGCACGCACGCACGCACGCACGCACGCACGCACGCACGCACGCACGCACGCACGCACGCACGCACGCACGCACGCACGCACGCACGCACGCACGCACGCACGCACGCACGCACGCACGCACGCACGCACGCACGCACGCACGCACGCACGCACGCACGCACGCACGCACGCACGCACGCACGCACGCACGCACGCACGCACGCACGCACGCACGCACGCACGCACACACCTCCCCCAAACCTAACCCTCCCCAAACCCAACCCCCCCAACCACCCCGACTCCTGGCATTTTTGTTGCAGGATCGAGGATGAACCTGGCAGACAAGGCCAAGACGGCTCAGTCGGCCAGGCCCTTAGTCAGCGTTTTTCCTTTTCTTCGGCGGTTTTCCTGGACCTATGCCTATCTGGCGACCAAAAGAAAGGGCGAAAGCCGGGGATGTCTTTTGCTCCCTTGCTTTAGGCACTTCCTTTGTATTGCTTAGGTGCTCAACTTAGGTTTTTAGATGTTATTGGTTGGTTTACTTGGTTTAGTGGTTGGGTTTCCACTTAGTCCACAAAAAGTTCGTCAATTCTAGCAGGGATGAGAAAACGGGCAGGTCTGCGGAGGCTTTTCACGAAAGCTAGCTTTAGCTAGCTGAAGTTTCTCCTTGCGTAAGCAAGGTAAGGGGCTCAAATGCCGAAAGATTGATTTTTTCAATTATTTGAGCCGAAAAGATTGAAAAGCATCAATCATTTAGACCCCCCCCCCCCTCCCCCCCCCCCCGGGTCTCAGGCTCGATTCCTCCCTCACATGTACAGATCCTTCAAGGACCTGTTTTCCGGAGAGGTTCCCAGGACATGCTTTGCTTGGCTCAAGGAGCTTCTTTTTTTGCTGGCTTTCTATGAGCCGTTTGGCTGGGAAAACTCGGTGGCAGTTGTTCCAGGCGTGAGCCCAAAGGTCCGGTTTGAAGATGCCTTTGGTGAAACACGAAAACGAGGACCTCAGGGCACAAGCGAAACGATGTGCCTCTAAGTCTCAGTTTCCAAGTTCCTGGAGCTAGCGAACTTTTTGGGAAGACCTTTTTTTTGGGAAAACACCAGTTTAAACATTTGCCGGCTGCACTTCGGAAGTGAGAAATGGGATCTAGGAAGCTCATGCATTCCGTAAAATGAAAGGAAGGCTAAGGTCATGTTGCCCTGCGGATTCGTCAAAAGATCCATGCCAATCAGCGGTGGTTCGGTTTGGCGTGGTTGAACCACTTGAAGGGAACTCCTTGTTTAGTAAGTGTCCTTTGAGTTAGTCTTGCAGACGCATCGGAGGACTTTTGCTTTAAGTTTCTCCTCTGCAGCCGCTCAGCATCAAATCGACTCGCGGTTTGCACTTCTTCCATCGTCTTCCATCATGGCTCGCCAGGGACATCGTGGGGCAGGACGGGGACTTTGCCGATGTCGACATTTCTTTGGACAACTACTCTCTCAGACACACAATATCTGTTGCTGCTTTTGTGGCCTGACCCCCCCCCCCTAACAAGAAAACGCCGCGGTCGCAAAGACAAACAAAAAAAAGCAACCCTCTCACCAAACAGGATGGACCCCCCACCCCCCCACCCCCCACCCCCGCCCCGCAAATGTGTTTGGTATTTGGGTAGCCTTCAAGTCATCCCTTTTCGGGCCGCGAAGCCATGTTGGGATTGTTGACCTCGGATTCGGGAGGATGTTTCTAGTCAGGAAGTGAACCCCTACAATTGCTGATTTCCCTTCTAAAAGGAGCCATTCTGATTAGCATGGTCCTCATGAAGTTAACATTGAGTTGCAATTCAAGCAGGACTAAGTTGAATACATCCTTCGGTGTTTGGGGACTTGACATGGATCCACCCAGCTTTCCCCCGACTGTGACCTGCAAGAAATTTGAGCCATCAGAACCGGGCGAGTGAAGGTTGCGGGACAATCCCATAGCTTCGGATCCCCCTTCGAATTCTTTGTGGGTAATGGAAACCCGGTCCCGATATTTCAGCCCAACCCGCCAGGGGCGGCGGGGTCATGTACCTTAAAACGGGGAAAATGTCCTGGATTTTGGTTTCCTTGTGGTTTCCTTTTAGACCAAGCCCCAAAAAATCTTGCTTCGCCCCCCCTCCCACCCTGCCCCCCCCTCCTGGCCCACCCACCCCTGGAGGCTGGCGCGCCAACTGGTGGCCGGCCACGCAGACGGCTTCGGCCACGGCCCGGCGTGTGGCTCGGGGCCACGGGGCCCAGGTGGCCAAGGCCAAGCAGACCCATGAGCAACTCCAGGAGCAGCTCGGACGCATCGATTGGAGGCCTCGGATCGGTCGGGCGGATCGGCGATGCTTTTTGGTTGGTTTGTTGAGTTCGAAGTTAAATCCTGGTGAGCTGCTTGCTTGTTTTGTGGCTCCTTCTATCTTCTGTTTATGCATTCGAGGGGCCTTCTGTTGACCATATGAACTTTGGAAGATGGGAAAGTAGGTTGGGCGCCTAGGTTTTTGGGGGAAGGCAGGGCCATCATTTCAGCGGCACTGGGTGGAACTTATCCTGAAGGGCACAACCGCAACTTCGGATCGGTCGGTCCGTCCCCGTTTCTTAGAGAAAAGGCCGAGCTTTGGGATGTGAAAAGAAGGATCTTCCCAAAGCGGGCGATGCTTTTCAAGGTCCCGGTGACCTGCACTCCCTCAAGCTAACAGCCGCAAGCTCCCCCGATCGGGACATGGAACCGAGCCTTCCATTTCGGGGGTCCGCTCGGCTGGGAAGGCGTTCCCCAAAATGAGAATCGTCTTCTGTCAGCTTCTATGATTCGAAGGGGAAGCCAACAACCTCTACATACACTACATTTCATGACATCCGGCTCCACCACATCACAGAGAACGTGAGTCATTATACATTGTCATGTGCATTGCGTCACATTACGTACTTTACATACATACCATACATACCATACATAAGGTACATACATTGGCACACATTACATCTTTACAGCCATTACATGCACTACATGCATCGCACACATTACATGCATTACATATATGCATGGACTACATTGATTACATACTGTACATGCATACATACGTGCGCACGTCTGCACATAGTCATAGTATATAGCACATTCACATTCTACAATCATGTGTCTACATTATTTGTAGATGTGTACATATACACACATGTAGATATGTATACATGTCTAAGGTAGGTGTGTGTTGTTGCATTTCATATGTCTGTGTAGATCTGCAATTGTGTGTAACATATGCATTTGTAGATGCACATTCAAACAGGTATGTATACATATATATATATATATAGAGATAGGTATGTGTGTTTGTGTTTTATGCGGGGCATGCTTGATTGCAGGATATGGGAAGGATTTGAGGGGCCGTTCACTTTCCCTGCCCCCACAGAGGGAACCGACCGGGATGGAGTTTTGTATGCGGGGTTTATTTATTTTTGGGTATTGACTTGCATACCCTCCGCAAGCAGAGGGTAACTTACTCCTAATCCACACCTGTCAATTTTTGTTGGGTGAATCTGGAAAGGGTGTTTCCAAGTTGTTCAGTTGTCATTGTTTGTTTGAAGGGCTCACCTCTAATCGCAAATTCCAAAGATGGGCAACTGAGTATGTGTTTTCGTTTGGGGCCCGCAAGATGGTTTCGGTGTTCCCATGGTGTCCAGCTAAAACCAGGTGAAAAGGGAACCCTCAACGAACAAACGCCTCCGTTGGGATTCTTCCAGGGCGTTCTGTGAGCTCAGGGGTGGCCAGCGGATTTTTGAGACCATGATGGCCGGACGCCCCAAGGAGCAAGGCCGAGACTGGATGAGGTTGTTTTTTCTTCGGAAGCCTGGCTCGCTTTTTTCCCCCAATTGCCAACTTCTCGGTCCTGAGACTTTTTGGGAAGACCGACCACATGTCAGGGGTATACAACCAGGGTTACTTCTCCCAAGGCACTCGTTAGGTGAGACATGGGGCTTGTTTCGAGCCATTTTTTCTCTGAGCCGCTTCGAGGTCCTTCACTTCACACTTCGGGGACATGTCCGCTATGCCATGTTTTCGTAAGGGCGACAACAACTAGGCCCCCCAGTAGTTCTCTTTTACCCTTTTTAAGGGGAGGGTCCCCTTACTAGAATAGAATACAGAAAACAAGATGGTACCCTTATTCCAACCTCTCTTCTGGAGGACCTAGAAAAGGACCCTCCAAGATGATTGGGGAATTTCCATTTGCAGATGAGATGTCCGATTTGGTTCAAGGGTCCTCAATGAATTCCAATTGAGAGGGGACGCTGTGGGCCCTAGTAGTTTCCTCATGAAATGGTTGTTTTTGCAGACGTGCAAGCAGGTTCTTTCAAGGCAAAGCAACTGACTCAACACCAATACCCTTCTGTTTCAATTTATGTTTTTCTCAAGGGCAACCAAAAGGACCCTCCAGGAAATTCCATTTGCAGATGAGATGTCCGATTTGCTTGTATTGGGTCCTCAATGAATTCCGGTTTGGGGGTCTGGACAAAGGCGTCAAAGGGCCATTCCCCTGAGGTGCAGTTCAATCCATGATGCCCGTGGAGGAGTCCTGCCCTGCCAATTGGTATGTGCCCAGCCCGCAGATGCCCCAGATCCCTCAACCGCAGCTCACGGACTACTGGTGCCAGATGGGACACATGGATATGGGAATGAACCAGATGAACCCGGGCATGTGGCTTGGCAGATATTGGTCAATGCGAAAATTCCACCTCCAAAAATTGCATCAAAGGCCGTGGTTTCCTACCAGTGCAACTGGGAGCTTGCACATGTGAAGTTTGTTCAATTGTGTGGCCTTATGTTGCCTGGGCTCCGAGCACAACCCACGCTTGTCAAAGGGTTGTATACCTGCCCTTGGATGGATGTTTTTTTTTGAAGATCTCCAGTGCTCTTCTTTCGTTTCTTTTTTTCTAGTTTTGCTGATAAATCAGCCCTCAGAAGGTGCCTGTTGATTTGTCCCCTATTTTTTCCCTGGCCACTTTTTTAGCGTTTTGTCAATCGCAGTTGGGGCAAGCAAGAGTTGAATTGAGACCTGTTGCGGTCCTGCGCTTTGTCAGGCTTTAAGAGTGAGCATCGAGGGAGGGGCCGTCGAAAATAGATTTGGGAGATTTTGGAAGCGGTGCTTTCACCATCACCACGCCCGCTCCTCACTTTACAGCAACAGCAACTGCTTTTCCCATGGGTTTCCATATTCACTTATGTGGGAGGGGTTTTGAACATCGCGCTAAAGAATGGGCCATTGAGTTGCCATCTTGCAATTCGTTGAGCCGGCCGGAATCGATAGGAGCCAAATCGCCTATGCTCAAGACTGGGCTTGGCCGATGCCCTCTCCCGAACCAGAACCCGAGTTTAACGCAGCCGTGATGATGCCTGCCCTCGCGGGCATGTCTGGTGCAGAGGTGGCAGCCTTGCTGGCCAATGCAGCTAAGGACCTCGTCTATGAGGACCTGGCCCTTTGGGGACAACATGTGTTTTCCAGGAAACTTGACTGGAGGTCCCTTTCATCAGAGAGGAGTCATCCATGGGGGGTTGGTTGCTGACGTTTGTTGGGCTGAAAGTCGTAAAACACGTTGCTGACTTTCCGTTCGGCATGGTACTCGAGCATCGCTGATCCCTGAGGACTAAATCACCGGATTTTTTTGGCGGCCTCGTACCGAGCCACACCTGCACGCGGATCACAAAGATCCGAAATTCGCGCTTACGATCTTACAGTTTGAAGTCTTCTTGCACGCAACATCAAGAGAACTAATTAATTCAAGAGAAGCGTTTGTGCTGCCACTAAGGCAAACTTTGCAGCGAAAAGAGTCGTCGTCGTGGGGGCTTAATCATTTCCTGGTGCCACTTTGAGCGAGGATTGCTTGGGGGCTCACGTGTGCCATGGTAAAAAGGGCCCATTTACTCAGAAATGGATGGGATGGTCATCAACCCATGGTAGGCTTGTTATGCAACAATTCATCGATTCAGGCAACCATTGGCAAAGGGACCTCAAGTGGCAACCGACAGGGGCCACCCGCATTTCTATCAGGGAGAGGGGTGGGCTTCCGCCGCAAGGGTGGTGTCCCCGTCTGCCCCTACACTTTCTGGGAACCCTTGGTCTTGAACCAAGCCATTAGAGACAGCAACTTCCCACAGCGGATTCCAGGGATGCCAGAGTCGAGTCTTCTTTCTCTTTGGGCCCGGGCTTGAGGGGTAGGATCAACGACCCAGTCCTTCAGTACACGAAGCAGCCGAAAAGGATTTGGCATGTGTGAAATTTTGCGGGGCGCCGCAGAAAGGAGTGGCGTTCCTTGTGGTTTCCTTTTCAACCAAAACATCGAGTAGGCGAAAAATAGGGGCGCACCCGCAAAAAGGCGGTGTTCCTTAGGCTTTGCCCGGCAAGACCTACAGAAGGCAGGTGTAAAAAGCAACGCTGATATCTCAAAAACACCGGCCCGGCCACACAGGCCCCACGCTCCGCTCTCTAAACCTACCCCCAAAAAAAGGATATCGACGATATCGACTAAGCAAAAAGTCGGCGCGCGGAAACTGAGACCGCGTCTGGCCGAGGTTCCCCACGTGCCCGGCCGAGTGCCTCCGGCTCCTCGGCGTTTTCGGGACGCGCTGGAAAAACCAGGGGAAACCGTTTGGTCCAGTGCCCTTCTCTTTTCCTCCCGTTTCTTTTTTGGTTGGTTTTGGGTTCCCCTATAGACTACAGGAAAAAAGGGGAAAAAGGGTACCATCTTATTCTAAGCTCTCCACCTGGAGGACCTAGAAACTATTGTTGGCTGGTGTTTTCGCAGGGCAGTCATCATTCCCAGGTTTCTTAGGTGGTGCGCAATGGATGTTGTCCATCCAGAGTATGACCAGGTTGACCACATTCCTCACAGTCGGGGAGCGAGACATTGTTGGGGCTAAGTGGAAAAGAGGACGCAAAATGTTAGATCTGCCTGTAAGGGGATGGAGAATGTACTTTGTCGAGACCCTTTGCAGATGCCCCAGTGTACATGTATGACCAAGCTTGGGTGAATGAACATCCGTTGTTTTGTATTGACGGGAGTCCATGTTTGGTCCACCAGGTGTGCCTTGCCAGAAGCCCGGGTTGGAAGCACTTCCGGGTCCGAACGAGTTGCAGCTCGGCCCTTGCTGTTTGGTGGCTTCCCCAACATGGTTGCGGCGAAATAGTAAAGAAGTAGTCACCGGAGAAAAGGTACGTTTAAAAATAAAATCAAAAAATGAGGAAGAAAAAAGACGTGATGCTAACAAGTCATCTTCCTCAGTGGTACCAAAAAGAAGTTGTTCGGTATTGCAGACAAGGTGAATCACATTCTACGGTGCCCTTCTGTTTGGCTCACTCGCTTGCCACTCAGGTCGAGGAGTCAGATGAGGAAGAGCAAGTGTTTCAACTGGTGGTGAAGCAGACCTTCTTGGAGTACATACCCACCGCAAGGCGGGTAGCAAAAAGAGCCCAAAGGCAGTCTCGCCGTCTTCGCGTTGGAGGCGGAAGCCACTTCGGAAAGGTGAATAATGTGGTGGTTTGGTACGTTGTTTGGTTGTTTAGTTGTTTGGTTGGTTGGTTGATTGGTTGGTTGGTTGGTTGTGTGGTTTGCCGGTTGGCTGGTGTGGTGTAGCATTTTTCCAAAGGCTTCGGAATCCACCCATATGGGGCCCCAAGGTTGCCAGGAGCGATGTCAGCGTGAATACTCACTCGGGGAAATGGTTCCGGCCCTACCAGAATGGTTCGATCCAATCCTGATGAAATCAAGGTGGCGAGTCGGAAAAAAAGGGTCCAAGGGCCGCATTGCCAGACTGAACTCACGGCTCCTTGGCGGTTTTGCCCTGGGTGTCCTTGTCCTTTGTTAGTTGCAGCAAAGGGTTCAGGGTCCAGCCAGTCCGTGGGCCGCCCTTTCCGGGGCTTTTGCTGGAAAAGCACGTGGACGTTCGCTTGCCATTCCTTCCTTGGAAAGGAGCAGAGGTCAAAGTTTGGTAGCGTCTCGCATCCTTTGCTGAACATCCCCCTTGACACATAGATAGGCATGCCACTCAATGTGTCAATGTAGCGTAGAGTTGACCACTACACATTTCCTTGGACCCCAAAAGCCTCACTTGAAGAGGAATCTCCTTTTCGGGGACCCCTGAAAAAAAGCATCCATCGCAAATGGACCTGGGAAAGCAGACAAAACGTTGGACACCACAGATCCCCCAAAAAAGAAAAGCAACTTCAGCCGCCCCCTTTTCTTGCGAGTGCTCAGTAGGGAATGAGGGAATGAACCCTGGGGTCCCCTTAAAGCTTTATGAGGGTCATTCCCTCATTCCCTGCTGAGCAGAGTTGTGGGAATGGGTTTATCCGCACTTCTGTATCTTCGGGACTCTTTATATGGGGTTGGCAGTCTTCGGGGTTCGGCCCTTTTCGTTGTATCAGAGAAGCTGGCGGTTCCGTTTCCCACCACCCCGCCGCTGCCTCTCGCGGCAGCAAGTTCTGGGGTTCTTCGGGTCTCTCAGGCCGCCCGGCTTCCGCGCTCCCCGGGCGCGGAGCGCGCCCAGCCGCCGAAGAGCGCAGCGCCTTGGAGAGGAGACGCGGGGACCGGGGAAGCGTCGGGGAAGCGTCGGAGTGGTCTTTGCGGGGCTCCTTCCATTGGCTTAAAGAATTCTTTTTTTGGAGCAGCGTTGCTTCCCGCCGAGGTGGGCGATTTTAGAGGAGGGTGTTTTTTTTTGAAGAGAGACCCCTCCGGTGTTGCAATCACCGGTTGCAGGGAAGCAGAGGGAGCTGTAGCTTTCAAAAATCAGCACAAGCCAAAGACCAACCTAGTCTGGGAACTCGCGGCCTGTTGGTACTGGCTTCTCCCAAACTCCGACCCAAAACCACAATGCTTTTGCCAACTGGGCGTGTGCATGTTTCAGCAGAAAATCATGCTCAAATCACCAAAGGACATACGAGAAGCCCTGTTCCGGGTCAATTTGCAGTGAGCTCACTTGGGCAAGCAAAAAGCGGGAAACCCCTCCTTGGGCACCAACATGGGGTGGGTGTGCCTTGGATTTCCTCTTAAAACACCCTCAGAAGTGGTCCCCTCAAAGGCTGAGTGTATATGTCCATATATGAACCCCTGGTATGAAGCCCTGAATTATGGGTTGATAAACCGTGGCTTATGGCTCCATTATGGGAAATCAGCCCCCAAAGCGTCCCAAATGGCAATGGGTTCAAACAATCCGCCTTTGATCCCTTGAGCCAGGCGATGCAGATGCGCTCAAAACATCCTCGGAAGTTGCCGTTTCACCTAGGCCAGACGCGAACAGCGAGACATCCATCGGATCCAGTCTTCATAGGCCGGGTCTGTTTGTTGGTGCCCTTCACCCCACTTAAAGCAGCCAAACGGGCATTACCAGGCGGAAAAAAAGGGCACCTGAACTTTTGGATAGCCGGTTTGAGGTTGGCAAGGGAAATCGGAAGCACATCGACCGGGATTTTTGGGTTCGTCCTGTCTTGACACGCCATGGCACCACGTGGCTGAAAGAGCCCATTGCGCAGGTCTGGCCTTTGCAAGCCTTGCGCCTGGTTCTGGAAGCAAGGTGGCTGCTTGGAAGAGCTGAGATCTGTCAGGGAGGGGGGCGGCCATATTGGGAAGGAGCCAAGTTGCCAGGACCGAAATCACGGTCAAATGGGGCGATCTGAGCCCAAGTTACTAGCAACTGTCAAAGCTGAAGGCACTGGTGGAAAGCGGAAGCTGAGCTGGGAGACGTTCTTGCCTGCACCTGGTGCTTGCCTTTATCCCCCCGACCCAGACCCTTTTTTCGTGCGCGGTCAAGTCGAGGTCGGTGGGATTGAGGCTTTGGCAATGTGTTTGGTGGCTTCTTTTGGTTCAACAAGAAAGCAAAAATCCCCAGCTGGCAGATGTGCATTACATGGTCTCTCTTTTCTTTGCCTTGTGGTATCTGGCAATTTCCAGATCGAAGTGCTTGTGCCCTTGGAGTCGCAAGAAAAAGAAGAAAACAAGCTAATCGCGCGGTGTATTGTCAGGGTTTGCCCATGGCCAGGCTAGCTTTGACACGGTTCTCTTCAAAATGTGCATTCCCAAGGGTTTTCTACGAATCCTAGGTCTCGAGCGCTTGTGTGTCAAAAAAAGGCGATTGCTTGCCTGCCAGAAAATATCGATCATAGCTGTCAGCCCCCATGCCTGCATTTGGGCCCTTACGTTGCCCCTTTTGGTTGCTTTTAACATGACAACCGGCGAATTCACGTTCGGTGCCGCGTTTTTGGTACCTTGCTCCTGCAGGTTACCGAAGAAGCGGCCAAACCCATGTCCGCGAGAATCTCGATGATGTGAGTTTCTCTTTGTTTGCACTGAAGGCTTAAAGATGTTACTTGTTCGGCATGCCCTGTGCATGCCATTGCATGCCTACCCGTTCCAACGGCGTTGTTGGAAGACTATCATCATCATCTTGAGAAGGCCCCTTGTTACAACCCCCTTGTCCATCTCCAGGTTGGAAAAAGGGTAAGCTTTTTTGGTGTACTCAGCAGTGATGTTGGTTCCCATTCCTTGTTCAACCCTCCCATGATATGGCATTCAATGCATCCAGGACTATTCAGATCCCAGATGTTATTTGTTTTCGGCGGTGTTACCACGTAATCTCATTCAGATCCACACGCCGTTGACGGCATTTTTCAACCTTTGTCCCCGCCAAACAACTTGCCAAGCTGATATCAGCCACCCCAAAAGCCTCACCCCGCACCCGACACTTTACCAGCAGATCGGACTGGGTAAAACACGTCGTTGGTTTATGCACGGGGGTACCTGCCGGCATTCCTTCCACCAAAAAGAGCCGTTTGGATGCCCAAAATCCAGCCACAAAGCCGTGGGAGAGAATATAGACAATGACACGTCTGAAGGTCCAATCTGTAGGGAAGTTTTTTTTTTTGGGGGGGGGGTTGGGCCTCAACCAATTCCCGAGGTTGTGCCAATGGCACTCAGTGCAGGCGGGCGCACCGCGCGCCCGGTGTTCCGCCTTGGGGTCACCAACAATCGGCCTGCAGCCAGCGAAAAAAAGTGACCAGTGTATCCCAAACATGCGAGACTTAGGGAAAACATGGAAGGCGGGAAGGGCATGAGAAGAACACGGAGGTTTACAAGCAACCAGGTTACCCGAAACCTGTGAAGAAAGATAGAACCATGGTGTTGAAGGCGCGCTTTTCGCCATCAACGAGCGGATTGCAAGGTGAACCAACATTCCACGGGTTTTGGGCGCGATGGACAGCTCTTGTCACTGTCAGTACGTTTCGCCAGAGCTAGCACTCCCCTACAAATTAACATGGAACCCAAAAACGGGGCTTTCAGAAAATGAGTTTCTTCTGCAACCCGTGGTTTTTCAGGTGCCATGTTGACATTTGCAGAGATTTGTGTGTGTGTGTGTGTTTTGCTTCAGTATCCTTTTGACCAGAAAGGTTTACAGACTCGCAGGGTCTGTAAGTTGTTGCTAGTAAGAAGCCTTTCCCGGGAGCCGCTGCTTCGCCTTGCCCTTGGAGCCGCAGGCACTGCCACACGTGCCCGGACGGTGAGATACACCGCCGCAAGCGCCACTCGCTGGGAGTGGGGGGGCGACTGGACGGTTCAGGCGCTTCGCTAAGCCACAGGGTGTATTTCAGTGTGGCTTGGGAGAAGTGGCTTTGCGGGGGGGGGGAGGTTAGTGGAAATCCTCTCAGACTTGTGTGTGTGTGTGTGCGCGATTCCTGTTTGGAGACTCACATGGAACCCGAAAGCCTTTCGCACTTTAAGAGGCACCTTGAACAACATTTTCGGGTTCTGACCCAAAATACGGCAAAGGCCAACCCCAAGAAAGCTTTGATTTGTTCCGATCATCCATGGGCCCTCCACTGAAAAGGTCACGTTTGGAAGGTTGACCTCAAACAGGGTACCAAGATTCGAAGATCCCAGGCGGGTGATCAATTCGGATACAAAGAAAAAAGAGATGTAAGCAAGTATTCGGATCCTCTAAATCAGGTGAAGGATGTCGCCTTGGGACCCTGCAAGCTGAGTTTGTCCCACAACCATGGATTCTTCCCAGGCACATGCTCATCTATTTCCCTCTGTCGACCTGAGATGAATCACCCACCTCTTACCGCCTCTTATGTTGTTGCTCTTCAACACCGATATCACCTGAGCGAAACCTTCCCTGAAAATTTACACACGCCCCTTGGATTTGATTTCCCGGACCTTCCATCAGGCCCCCACCCCCCCACCCCCCAACCCTCCAGCCACCAAAAACGAGGCCTGATGTTCCACAAGTGGCTGGGGGGCGCCTCATGTCGGGTCAGGTTTGTCAGCTCAAAGTCACAAACTGTTCGGCGCTTGTGGCCTCTCTTGAAAACACAAAAAAACACATCCATAGAAACATGTCCACATGCGCATCTGCATGTGTCAAAGTTGGACCCCAGACCGGCAAGCCGGTGTTCCTTTTGGTTCCCCTCAAAAAAGAAAAAAGCACAGGGTTCCCAAAACAAAACACAGACCCAAAAGGGTCCATCAAAGGGCCTACCAGCCACCACCAGGGTCCACCAACCCAAACAACAACAAATACAGCCAACCAACCCAACAAAAAAAACTGGTTGCCCCAACCAAGCCATGGGTTGTTCCGCCTTCGGCTTCTTCTTTTTTCCGAGGCCTGAACCGGGAGCTCGCGCGTCGGGAGCGCCAGAAGTTCCAGACGGAGGGCTCCAAGACTCTGCCCAGCGAGGGCAGGGCCCCAGGCGCCGCGACTCCGCGCGGCTTCGCGTCGCGTGTCGCGGATTGTTGGGCCGGAGTTGGGGGACTGTTGGCCGGAAAAGTTCAGGGCACCTGCTTGGAGGAGGGGGTTTCTTAGGTGCGAAAAAATGGAGTTCTTTCAGAGTGCTGTCCGCTGAATTGAACAACCAACAACCGGCCATGGATGTTTTTCAAGCGGTCACCCTATGCTAATAGGGTTTGGAACCACTGGTTCTTGTGGGCAAATGGGAAACCACCCCGAACCACCTAGCTACAAATCCAAACAACCCGGAATCCAAGAAATCGATTCATGTTTAGAGGGAGCTGTTGTTGTTGCTGTGCTTTTGTTTCTTGGCCACCCCCAAAGTCCCTACAGGTCGCGCACGTCAGAGACCCAGAGTCGTTGGTTCGAAGCTTGGCACTCGCTGGTGTTTGCCAAGCATCCCCACCCCCTTCAAAATGGAATTGGGGGAGGGGGGTGGCCCCTGGAATTCCATTTCGAGCTCCATTTTCCCTTCTCTGGTTGGAAGGCTGCATACATGGAAGTGTGGGACGTGGGACCCGGGACCCCCCCCTCCCCGTTAAGGCGGGGGATTGCCAGGCCATAGCCAAGAAGACGCCCGCCGACTGCGGAAGTTTCAGACCGAGGGCGGCGCGCCGGCGGACCTGGGAATGCCAGGCGCGAGCGGCGGCGACGAAGCGTCAAGGGATCCATTTCCCTGGCCCGACCAACTTGTCACGCAGTCTTTGACCAAACAATTCAACAGAATGAGACCAAAAAGGAGCTGTGTTTTCCAACATGTTTCAACAAGTATGACCTGTTTTTTTTTTTTGTTGTTTTTTTCTCGAAAAAGGAGGTGTTTTCCAATAGTTTGCTTGGAACATATGCTCCAACACAGGTCGTTCAGCGGTCGGAGATCGGCTTTCTTCAGCGCTTGAGATCCGCAGTGGTCCGCACCTCCGGGTGCGGGTTGGTATCTCCTTCCCTTCGGCCCCCAAATGGCCAGCAATTTTTCCCATGGGAAAATATGTCAGATATTTGCCGTGGTTTTTCAACTGGTCATCCGGTACGGACCCCGATTTCGGGAATTTAAATCCCCATTTCCCAAATGGCCCGCAATTTTTCCCATGGGAAAATATGTCAGATATTTGCCGTGGTTTTCCAACTGGTCATCCGGTACGGACCCCGATTTCGGGAATTTAAATCCCCATTTCGGGACTGGCGCCGTTCCTGCATCCGGACCGATTCAGGTTGGCCTTCAAGTTGTCTTGCTGCTTAGTTGGAAGAACCCCGAATAAAACCATGCTCTGTGGCTTCCTTTTCCCGAAGTTCATTCCAAAACCCGGGGCCATTCCCTACCTATTGCACCAGCAAGTTGTGTGCTGAAACGAGATGGGACTTGGATGCCTTTAAAGGGTTTCGGACCTGGAAGGCGGTTCTTTGAAACATGCCCCAAAGCGAATGGATCGAATCTGACTTTATGTCTAGCTTGAAGGGCCCCTCATGTGATCCTTTGAGAGAAGCGGTGCGAAAACAAGTAGCTGGCAAAAGAAGCCATCCCCGTGATGGGACAAGTGGCAGAAAGTAGTCGTTCCTGCAAGCGAAGTGAAGCTCGAAGCAAGTGAAGGGTTGGCGGCACGCACGCACATTCGACACACCTCCAGATTCAGAAGGCCTCCCCACATCCTTTACCTTTTGATCAGTTCTTTTAGACTGCATTGGAGAACGCTGCTTCTGGCCTACTACCATTTGCTTCAGAACAAGTGTCTCATCCAGGGGGCTTAACCAGATGGAAGAGAAGGGGTTCATTTGGACCACCCTTCGCTCGCAGGTGCGCTGGAAAGTCCGCAGGCGAACGCCTCCCCATCCTCTGGCTCAAGCTCCTCGCCCCACTCGCTAGGCGCGCGCGTGCCAGCCTGCTTCGCGGATTCGATGCGGGTGGCACTTGCCACTGGCCAGTTGGAGGGGAAAACGCCCGGAAAACATATAAATTACGCCGAGTTTTAGGAGGGACCACCTGAAATGTGCTTAGTGGACATGCATCTCCAGCAAAGGGTCCCCAATCAGAATTCATAACCATGTTTCGCTGTAATGCAGCATGAGGCCAAACCCTGAGAAGATGATAGCTGTGCCACAAGCTCGTTCAACTTGGAGTAAAGGAGTTTAACGGCTTTGCCGAAAAAGCAAATGCCACCCACTAACAACTTTCACATGTACAAGGCTAGAACGGCGAGGCATTAGCTAATAGAGTTTCCGCATTTCTATGTAAAAAAGTGATAACAAGTGAGGATTGTGTATTACAAGTGGAATGCCTACGTTAAGGCAAGCAATTGCTGTTTGATGCTGTTTGACTCAACTGTAAGATTAAGAGTTGCACGTTCTCGGCGAACAGTATATAGTACGCGATGACTCATTTGTTATGGTGAAACACGCAAATAATGCGAGAGACAGAGAGAGAGAGAGAGAGAGAGAGAGAGTGAGGGAGAGATGTTGCTGAAACTGATCGAGCTTCAGCAACTTGGCGTGCGCCCAAAGTGACTACACAAGCTGTCAAAGATTGAAATCGACAATCAAGTACGTATCCAGTTGCCTGATGTTGCTGAAATATGCTTATGTTCACGTTATGGTTTTGTTTGCTATAGATTATCGGTGTCAACACGGCGCAGTTTGCATGCTAATAGAATGTGGGTGTTCATCGAGTGTGATGATTAGCTCACCCAATACACCTATGGCGAAGCCAAAGCTACCTTGTAAGATTTATGCCTCAGACTGGTTTCTTGGGTCCGCATTGATTTGGGAAGGTGTGTGTGTGTGTGTGTCAGGAAAGGCGTTTAACAGATTGTAAGATTGGAACAAAGGGTAACAGGAGAGGCAACCTGACCAAGTCTGAAAGCACGTTGTCGGGAATATTGGAGATGCCTGTAAAGCTTGTGAAGGTATGCAGTCCATTATACAATGTGTTCATAGGTCGAGAGGTACAGAATATTTCAAGATTTGGACCAATGCAGGCAGAAAGCTGAAATGAAACCATGAATATGGAATGGTTTTGGCTGCTTCCTGAGTCAAAGACATGACCACATTCAAGATAGAACGCGTCAGCAGTTTCTGGATTGACTTGTTAACCTGACCCTCTCTTAAACCAGCGAAGCCCCCGAACGGACCCCGAAATTGAAGACTTGGTTCCATTTACAGAGGCCAATTGGGGGAGCTTCCGGCTGGTAGCCTGAGGGAGTGTATGTGTTGAGAAATCCTATTTACAAATCATGAGGTTGATGACTTCCTTCAATCCTTCTCACATTTTGGGGGAGGTGGTTGCTTGAGCCCACCGGTTGCCGATGGCTACCGCAGGCATTCCAGAAGGACAACTTGCTTTTCTCCAGCCCATTGCAACTTGGCAGCATGGTTGCTTACCCTTTCGTGGTTATCTCGGGTTGAAAGTTCGGCACCGTCAGCACCTTGGTTTCAACACGTTTGGGGGGCTTAAACTCTTAAGCCACCTCCAAACTGACAATTAGAGGGACGCCCTTCTAGACGTGCCAGACCAAGAAAAGGTAGGACCCCTTTTGAGTTTCTATCCGTTTTTCGCTGTTTCCCCGTGGCCGTTGATGGAATGCTAAAAAGAAAGGTTGGAACAAGGCATGTTTGTTGGGAACATGGCGGTGGACAACACCCAACCAACTCACCTCGCAACAAATGAAACCAATGGGCCTCCGATTTAAGTGGGTTGCCTTGGCCCCTTCAGATGAGTCTGGACCTGGTGACCTGGCCTGTCCTCGCCGGTCCTTTCCTGTGTGGACCCCTCTAGCCAACAGCGATCCCTCAGCACTCTTTTTGCAATAGAAGGTAGAAGGACACAGTGTTCTAGATTTCCCATGGAGAGGGCCAGGATTAGTTGTTGTTTTTTTCAGTGTTATCCCGGGGCCAGCCTTGAAGGGGGACCCTTTCGAGCTTGTGAAACCTTGTTTGTCTTGAACAATCTGTAACACATGTTCTATTGATTTCTGGAATGGCACCCCTTCAGACAAGAAAAGGGGGTTGGAATTGGCAAAGGTATTGGCAGTAGCTTTTGGCAGTAGCTTTGTTAGTTGAACATGTTTTGCTTTAGCATGTTTTTTGGATTTTGGGCCAGAAAGGGACGTCTGATTAAGGTGCTTTGGGAGGTGCCCCAAAGAGGAATCAAGGGTGGCCATGCCTTGTGCCTTCAAGAGTAGTATTGGCTGGCAGCCCGCTGGGGGAACCAGGCGTCTTTGGTCAGAGGGGGTGTATAAACTAGGTCCCCCAGTAGTGCCCTTCTCTCTCCCCTTTTTTGGGGGAGGGTTCCCCGACTCAGATAGACTACAGCAAAAAGGGTACCCTTATTGTAACCTCTGCACTGGAGGGAGGGGGCGTATAAATTATGCGATTCCAGAAACTCGGCCTGTTCTTTTGGCCAATCAGGCACATAGGTGCCCTTGCAGCTTATATGCGAAATAGGTTCTTTTTTGTTTTACATGGTTTTCACCTGGTTTGTTACCCCATGTGCCGAGAAACCCCGCAGATTTTACCAAAAGAAACGGGTTACAAACCTGCCCCTCGTTTCCCACAACCTTGCCGGCCCTGCCCTTATTGGTTCGGGGACGCAGCGATTGGACGATCCGATTTCGCCAAGGTGGCCGTGTTGCAGGACTCAGGGGATGGGTTCGTGTTTGGGCACTCGGCTTCTCTCTCCCACGGTTCCCAGTCCGGCTCCCTAGACTTTGAGGCTTTTAGGTTTGAGTGGCCATGTCCTAGGTTGTAGCCTTTGAGGTTTTAGTGGTGTGTAGTTTTTTGCTATTAACTCACTGGACGTTCACCTTCTCCTGCTGGGGATCTGAGGTTCGGATGTCCTTGTGCTAACGGTTGAGCACAATCGCGGGCCCTGGTTTCCCCGGTGGTTTCAATCATCTGCCAGGGCCATCTATTTTCCCGAAAGGAGACCTATGTTAAAAAAGAAATTCTCCTCCAACAGCTCCTCTTTCAGCCACTCCTGCGCTGAAAGGCAGTGCTTCCAGGCTGTCAAGGTCAGGGATGTCGGGGATGCTTGGGTTTATGGGTGTTTGCTTGCGTTGGCTTTCCTTCAACACAAGAAAAGCGTGGAGTTCCCCCTGGCCACTGTTCAGCTTCCCCTGATTTGTGGTTTGGATTAGTGGTGTGGCGGTTTGGGGGCTGGTTACGGGTTCATTTACCGTCTACAAGCGCGCGGGCTCAAATCCAAGCCACCAAGTAAGAGTTGCCCGGCGGGGCTCAACTCCCCTGCATTTTTCGAGATATCGACCTCTATGCTTTGTTCACCTGAGCGCCCAATGTACCTCTTGGCTATGGAACACAAAACCGAACTCCTCGAAATGCCCCAGATGCCGCCAACGGTAAGCCATGTCCGGTATGTACAAACCTCTTTGCTGCTGATTATGCGTAATATCTTTGTAGAAGTTGGCGGTTCGCTATTTTTTTGTGGACCCCCGTTCGAAGGCGGCACAAGCATCACCAGGGTCCCAACATTGCCCTTGTTTTGACACGCACACGCACACCATATGTATACATAATATATATATATATATATATATTTGCATTTGCGTACATGCCGATGTGCACGACATACCTGGACCTTCCTGCATGCTCAAAATGTCTGCCTTTTCGCTACGAATTGCCTTTTGGGGCAATTGCGCGTGTTTTCTGCCAACTCTCTCAAATAAGTCCCATAAATTCTCATTTTTTCTCATAGCTTTCTCATTCTTTCTCATAGCCTTCTCAAGTTCCCCTTTTGGATTCTCATAGCATGTCATCATGATTGGATTTATGGACCCCAATATTCTCATAGTTCTAGTAGACGTCTCATATTTTCTCATAGTATACCAAAGGTTTGATGGGGTCATTGCTGGTCCATATGTAGGTGGTGTTATGAATATACTATGGGGCGCTAAGAGAAAATTGATGGAAGCCATAACTATCAGACAACTATGAGATGCGTGCCAATGAGTGAAAAACTTTGACCCCACTCATACGTTTCTCATGGCGGGCATGGCATCCACAACGCTGCCCTACACATGCAATCTCTGAATACCACTTCCCCATGACATGTATACCAAGCCTATGAGAGAGCTTCATAGCTGTCTCATGTTTTTCTCATACTTGCCTCATGGCTTTCTCATAGCATTCTCATGGTTTTCTTGCCACTGTCTCATATAGGCTGTTTCAGCACACCTGGGCCATATCCAACACACTTCTCCTCACAGACACACACAGAGCACACCCACCCAACATGCCCATCGCCAGTTTTTTCCCATTTCCCCTTGAGAGGAGGCCGCAGGGAGTGACTTGTCTCAAGACGTCGGCACACGCACTCGACGGCCGAGTCAGTTGGGCAGCTCGGTGTTGCCTGCTTTCTTGGCGAAGAATCGTCCTCCCGAGGACTCGGATTTTTGAAAAAACATATCCGAACCACCTGTACAGGCCAGCACCTGGTTTTGTGTAGGGCACCTGCTGCGCGATGTTGCGCGGTGCCGCATGACGAACTCGCAGTGGTGCCAGGCGTTTTCCCCACCTCCATTGGGAGCTGAGCTTCTTTCGTGAGAACCTCGAAGCTTACTAGGTTGGTCCCCTCAAAAAAATCCTCACACATGGGTGTTGTCCATTTTGTTACCCCCCCAAAAAAAAACAGCAAGCGGCACCATCACAAATTAGACTCGCCCACTTGGTGTTCAGGCAACTCCTTCAGCACCCGTGAAAAGGTCGCCAGTTTTGGATGGAAATGGGGAGAAACAAATCGGAGATACTGCGGATGCACGTAGGTGGGTTTTTCCCAGTATTTATAGGTGGTCATCCATCCCGGTGCGAAGCTGAGTTGGCCCGTGTTCCCCATCCACATAGGCTACAAAAGGTGGGATGGAGCACTCGCCCTAAGTCTCGACAACAGATCTCCACTTGCTTCAGCTCTGCGAAATCCGAAATCTGCAGCCCGCTTCTCGAAAACCAGAGGCCGGGCTGTGGGT